ACCAGAACCCCCCACCCCTCAAAAGGTTCTTCAGCCTGCTCTAGCTGCGGATGTCCCTGCTCCCTGCAGGGGGGCTGGGCTAGGTGACCTTCAAAGGTCCCTTCCAGCTGAAACCATTCTGTGATTTTATGATGCTTTACTAGGTGACCTTCTACACTGTGGGGATGCATCAGAAGAGCCAGCAGCATTAGAAAACCTAGAAGCACCTTACCTGTAAGAAGCAGAGAGCCTCAAAATTGGATTGCAAGTTCTTCACAGGCCTTCTAAGAAGAGACTTGATTTACAAACCTCATTTTATCTGGCTGTTCTTCAAAGGAAAGCCTGTGCTTCTGGCCCTGAACTCCTTATCCCTGCCAGGATTAGAGAATCATAAATTGGTTTTGGTTGGAAGAGACCTTTCAGATCAAGTCCAACCATCCCCAGCACTGCCAGGTCCCCACTGCCCCGTGTCCCTCACCCCACATCTCCACGGCTTGGAAACCCCTCCAGGGGTGGGGACTCCACCACTGCCCTGGGCAGCCTGGCACAGCCCTGGGCAACCCTCCAGGGCAAGAAATTGTTCCTCAGGGACAACCTCAACCTCCCCTGGGGCAACTTGAGGCCCTTTCCTCTTGTCCTGTTGCTTGCTTCTTGGAGTAGAGACTGACTCCCACCTGTCTCCAACCTCCTTCAACAGCTAATCTGTTTCTTTAAGAGCCTGGAGTAACTCTGGTGAGAGTTAATCTGTGACATGACACTGAGATGGCTGCAGCATCTTGCTCCCTGCACGTTAAGAAGCAGCTGATGGACAGTGCAGACCAGCCACTGTCAAACTGTTTAGCCATGGCCCCACTTTTCTTCTGTTAGGGTCATTATCTGTGGACTGCCTGCCCAAAATAACATTCCAGAGATTACACCAGCTTGTTTTTCATGCACCCTGGGAAGGAATTCATCAGGCTCATCTGAATCTGAAAACATTCAACCAGGAAGAGATGGGAGATGAGGTTAGCAAGAAATGAAGCTTTAAATATGTATATGAGGAAAATGTTGGTTCACTACTCAAAGAGGAAAAGCTACTGAAGCTAAAGAGATTATCTGTTGTCCTAGGAAAAATCAAATGATAACGTAGGAGCAGGTGGCAGGTACAGTAAATACCAGGGCAGAAGAGATTTGGAGGAAAGACCAAGTTTTGGGAGTATAGATGGTGTTTTCAGGCTGGTTGTGTTTGATAAACTCCACACCAGATTGGTCAGAGATCTCCAGAGGTTCCAAAGCAGTTGTCCTCACTGTTGGGGTGGTGAGACACTGGCCCAGGTTGCCCAGGGAAGATGTGGATGCTCCATCACTGGAGGTGTTCACAACCAGGTTGGATGGGGCTCTGAGCAACCTGCTCTGGTGGGAGGTGTCCCTGCCCACGGCAGGAGGTTGGAACTAGATGATCTTGAAGGTCTCTCCCAACCCATCCTATGATTCTATGACCTGACACGGTTGGCAGAGAGCAGCTGAGCCTGGCAGAGCAAAGATGTTCAGAGACAGTAGAGCTGCAGAGACAGGCAGGGGGGACCTAGGAATGGGTCACAGTTGGAATGAGAGGATGTAAAGAGTGGGGATCTCAGAGACTTGTGGGGATCT